GAAAACCAGCAAATTGGTATAAGAGGCTGGCAGCGCAGAAAGGAATTCCAGTGAATCTAGCGAAAACGGAGGTGACGAAGACATCCACCGACAAACAACAACGACAACCTCTAATCACTATCAAAGGGAGTAGTTTGACAGGCGTCACACTTCCTTCAATTATTATCTAGAAAGCATCGTTTAAAATACAGGCTGTCGGCACAGGACGCCGAAACCTGGAGGCCTCTATCACTCTGCACTCCGCAGCACAGAGAAGCAAAAATTCGGATTTTCAACACCAAGTCAGTCAGTTCTTCTGTATGGAGTAGAAACTTGGCCCGAACGTCACGACAAGCATTTCCAACAGGTTACAGGTTACTTTTATCAGCAGTTGTTTTCGCTCCATATTGAAGACCAAATGGCCAGAAAGAATTAGCAAACAGACCAAGAACCTAACCGTCAACAAATATGCACCAGAAAATAGAGATGGATTAGGCCCATACTGAGGAGATCATCGAATGACATCACGCGCCAGGTAATCGCTCGAGTGGGACCCGAACGGGAAACGACGAGTAGGAAGTCCGGGGGCGGTATGCGGTCGGTCGGTTTTCGACGTAGAACTTTGCACCAAGGTGCGGCAGTTCAAGTCGCCACACTCCACTCCTTGTAGCACACAAAGCAAGAGAAGAAAGTAGGAGAAATGCTTAATAGAGAGAGACAGTAAACAGAGGTGTGAGACAAAGGTATAGTAATAACGAAGAACAAAACAGTTTAATTGGAAATCATAAGTAAGTCACAAGGAGTGGATGAATCTGCGCCAGCCATTGAGAACGATTTTGAGCCATGTCACCAATTGTTTCCAACCATTGGTTTTTACCGTCCCGAGGACCCCAACCGGGAAGCCACTCTACACCTTCCTACGTGGCTTAGACTGACTGTTGTAGATTTCATTGACTGGTGAAGCCATGTTTCGGTTTGACCGCGTCTAGCTATTTTCCAGTCTGGCCCTATATCAGATAACATTGCCCCGCCCGTTGTTGAGGAAGGCGATGACTAGGCATACATGCGTAACACATGTCCTAACCATCTCAGTCGATGTAATTTCACAGTCTCGTCTATTGATTTCCCCGCCTTACCTATCACTCTACTCCTAACCTCAACATTGCTCACCTTATTATACACCACCACTTCACGCGGGAGATAGAAAGCAGACACCTATGATCGAACACAGCTAATCTTTTCATGTCTTCCACTCTCAATGGCCAGGTCTCATAGCCAGCCATAAAGGAGGACAGAGCGGACTGCTGAGCAGTACAAACGCCCTTTGATCGATACACAGCCAGCCGGATATCACGTCTACGCCAGAGATGGCGTAAACTGGCATTTGCGAAATTGGCCCTCTGTATTCGTGCTGAGATTTCGTCGGAGATCAACCCGTTGGGGATGATGGTACTTCCCAAGTAAGTGAAGTGGTCAACGTGCTCTACCACTTCACTTCCTATTTCTAATCTAGGGGTCGGTGAAGTTCAATCCTGTAGCATCATCTTACATTTGACAGCAGGATTGAATCGCATGCTAAACATCCGTAGATTGCAGCTCCTCAAGGTGTTCAGAAGACTCTGCTCTATTTTTTCAGCGTCCTCACCTAGCAGGAAGGACCCTGTCGTCTGTATATTCCAAGTCAACAAGATTATCGCCTCCCTGGTAACAAGTCAATCTCTGAGCCACTGAAGTGAGTTAGGGTTAAGTCCATTAGTACGTCTATTGGGCAGTATGCAGTAGACTGTGACAGGAGATGAGGGATCATGGTCAATTGTATGGTCAGCTAAATATGACTTCAGAGAATAGGACAAAGTGGAAATGTGCGCTGTTGAAGGCCTACGTCCGTCCCACTCGGAACCCAATGGGAACAATATAACATAAAAAGAATCGTGAGAAGTTAATGGACGTAGGCGACTACAAGGAGTGAATGCACCTCGGCCCCAATGAAAAGAGTCTTGAGACGTGTCACCAATAGTCTCTAGTCAATTGGTTCTTAACCTCCCGAGGACCCTAATCAGGCAGTCTACACCTCCCTCCCTACGGGGGGCCAAAACCGTACCATGAACAGAAATAATAGTTCTGACAATACCTTGAATTGTGAATAAAGCGGACGTATTCTGAAAACCTTTTTATTATCAGAATGGTTGAATGAGAGGCATTCATTACTAATGGTGTCATACGACGTGACTGCCTTATTTACAAAGGTACCAGTGATGGAAACAATAGATATCATTTGTAAACAAAACAGATCTATTGCCATTACCGGAGTCAGACATGAAACGACTACTAATTCTTTGCACAAAAGACATCCAATTTAGATTCAAATACCAATTCTACCGACAAATTGAACGGGTCGCCATGGGTTCACCTCTAGGACCCATTCTAGCAGACATCTTCATGGGCTATCTCGAACAGATGCGACTGAGTGGCGCTATCAATGAAACAACATACTACCGTCGATACGTCGGTGATACTTTTGTTGTTTGTAACAAAATGAGTCAGGCATCCGTATTATTTGACCGCCTAAATGGGATCCACCCAAACATTAAATTTACCATGGAATACGAACACAACCATGAGTTCAACTTCCTGGACCTAAATATAAAAAGAAGAGACGATGGAACGGTCGAAAAGTCCATCTGCAGAAAAGAAACTTGGACCGGACAATACCTTCACTACAACACCTTCTGCCTTATAAGCTATAAGCGGGGATTAGTAAGGACACTGTACGACAGGGCCAGGAAGTTATGTTCGCCCAACAAAATAGAAGAAGAATTAAGCTTTGTTGAAAAATGCCTTAAGGAAATAGGGTATCCAAAAGGATTTATTCTAAAGTACAGCAAAGAAAGAGATGAGAAAGAGAAGTATCCAACAGTTGAAAAGAAGAAAGTGTTCATTCGCCTCCCATACAAAGGAGAAGCAGTATCACAAAACATTGAAAAGAGGATGAAAGGAACAATAAAGAGATGCTTCTCTGCAGCTAAGCTGGTGACATTACACAGCACTACATGCTCTATAAACCAATCGAAACTGGATAATTACCCTGCTGATGTTACCTCCAACTGCATTTATAAATTAACGTGCACCTGCAGCAGCAAGTACATCGGAAGGACAGAAAGAAGGACTTCTATCCGCTGTTTTCACAGCTTATTTCGAGAAACTTATGCTTAAAAGGAAGCAAATATTCACAAAGTGCAATTACCAGACACCCACACTGTGGATACGGGTCATTTTGTCGAGATTTCCAAATCCTTCAAAATATTAAACATATAAAGGACAGCGAATCTACTACGATTTACAGCTGAAGCAATTACAGCAATCAAACGTCTCAGACCAAACTTATACACACAGAAAGAGAGAGTGTAGTCAATCTCTCACTCCCTTGGTAACCATATCACTTTCATTACACTGATTACTCATACACACTAGTAAGCTCAGCTCAGCTCATTAAGCAAGTTTTCAATTTGATGAACTTTAGACTTCTTGAGTTGTCATGTTGACGAACAAGCTAACGCTGTTTATTTGATTTTTCTGTTATCTGTCTTCTCTCACCCCCCCCCCTTTTTTTTCTTTTTTCATAGTTTGATAGTATAGAAATTGATGGCAACTTAAACTACAAAAAATTCTAATCCTTATATTCCGGATGCGTTCATCTTGTAATGTTTTCTCTATTACCTTTCAAACAATGAAGTATGAAATGTTATCACACTATTTATAACCATTGTAATTTCAGGTAGTTTTCAGCAGCTGATGAGGGTAACCTGTAGAATAGAATGATGATCGCATCATTTTATACTGCAAATCTGGTCTTTCTTTCTTGCTTTATCGAAATTTATCAAGGGAACCAAGTGTATGAAAACTTTTAACTTTTTTATTTGATCTACTTTATATGTTAGTCTGCTTTATACGTCTACAAAAAAGACAAAAGAGCAGTTTAAATGAGCCACTGTACACGTGTCACCAAGCATCATTAACCATTGATAGCTGAACAGTGCTACCACCGATTTTTTTTTACTTCGGCTATCTCCTACGGGAGGATGAGCCGGCTTCATGAACATGTCGAATCATCGCTGCCCAGGCGCGACTATCTGATGCAAGGTTTTGCGACAGGGTTATCCAATTCTTGTTCCACAGACGGAGTCCGTAGACGGTTTGTAGCCCCAGGCACTCCATATCAGCCTTGACTGTACCAAGCCATGTTTTCAGCTGTCCACCCCTGCGACATCGCCAAGATGGTAATGGCGAGAGATTTAGAACTGATTTGACCAGATCGTCATCTGGTCGGCACAGAACATGGCCAAACCACCGAAGGCGACGTTGTTGGACCAGTACTGGAATTTGGTTGATGTTGTATCAACGAAGACGCACGAGAGTTCATGAAGTTTCATGGGAATTTGGTATGAGTGATGTCCCCAGAATCGCTCGGCCTTTTGTTTGAGAGTGCAGCTCTAGCCTTTACATAACCAAGTGTGACCCACAAGGCAGTAGGAGTGGAGTAGGGAGTCCACTATCCATTGGCAGCCGGTGACCGGAGTTCGGTTCATACGCCTTTTTGAATGGGGCCAGACATCCAGGACATCCAACAAGCCCTTTGTCCATACGTCTGCCGGTGACCTCCAGTGAGATTCATACGCCAGTCGTTGGAGGTTTGGAATCAGGGTTTAGCCATCTCCCCTAGACTGTCATCCAATGGACAGTCAACCCGGTGAAGAGCGCCGGGCATCCGCTTTCGCCCTCTCACTTTGGTGAAAAGCACCTCCGTCACGTGAAGGCAGTGAGTAGGACTTCCTCAGGAGAGGCTATGTAAGACGCCCGGTCATATGGGAGCATTTGAAGAGGTGTGCGGAGGGGTGGCCAACCCGCAGCGCAAGCCACCCACCCCCGACCATCCTGAGGCTTTGGATGCCACCGATACAACAACAAAACTCCCACACAACAACAACACACAAGTAAACCCCACCCCATGAAAGATTACTTACTATTAAAGTATATGGAGCCTTGGATTCAGTTAAGGTGTCTGCATTTGCATCAGTCTCAGTGGGATCTGAGTTTGTCGTCGTCTTCTCGTTATCCGGATTAGGATCAGTCCAAATTTCTTCTACAACTCGAAATCTATACAGATAATAACAAAAAGAACAAATGCAATTGGAAAATGAAAAAAAATTTGTCTTTACACTCTCCTCTCCCCGCCACCCCCCACCCAACAACAAATCTCGTACAAGATGATAATACACAGTCATGTGTAAATAAAATAACCAATGCAGTGGATGCTTGTTTATGCAATGTCATATCAGATATAAATTTACCATAAAACACAAAGATTATTATTATTATTGTTTCCTTTAATTCCCAGAGGAACATAGGGCTACAGCCGCTCACGTCTCCATTGCGTTCGGTTCTCTGCTAGAGTCTTCACCTGGCTCCATGTCTGCCCACACGTTTTCATCTCCTCTTCACATGACCTCCTCCAAATCACCCCACTCTCGCACTGACGACCAACTCGCCGCTTCCCTTTCCGTTAGGTTCCACTCGAGCAAATGGCTTGTCTAGTGATGTCACCCACTTGATGGTTTCCTCACAGTATGGCCTGCCAATCCATCACCATTTCTTCCTGCCTATTTGTTGCATAATCAGTTCCTGCTGTGTTGGTTCGCACATTGCCAGAGATCCCACCCTGTTGCTGATCTTTTCTGGCCGGCCATTTGATCTTGAGCAGTGTTGAGCGAAGACAACTGTTGATGAAGGTCTGTAGTTTGTTTGAGATGCTCTTCATGACGCGCTGGCCAAGTCTCTGATCCGTATAGTAGGAAAGAATTCACATTGGAGTTGAAAATCCGGATCTTATTTTTGATGCTGAGTGCAAAGATTGCAAACAAATTATTTACGACTGTCTGTCTCTGTCTGCCTGGATTCAACATAGAACTTGGCACCCAAGTGCACCAGTTCCAGTTGTCAAGTTCCAAATAGCACACATAGGTAAACAAGAAGATGAATGAGTGAAGAGAATCAATCAATAGAGTTTTGACAAGTATAAGAGTGAAACAGAACGAATGACTAATGGTAGAAAGGAATATGGAAGATTACACAAGAGACTGAATACATCTGCGTAAGCCATTGACAACGACTTAGAGCCATGTCACCTATTGTCCGTCTCCAGTCATTGATTCTTAGAGTTCCGAGGGCGGGCCCCAACCCGGAAGTCTGCATCTCCCTACCTGACTGACTCAGTTTAACTGTCAGGGATTTCATGGATTGATGAGGCCATGTTTTTGTTTGGCATGGCACCACTTACTCTTTTCCAACCTGCATATATGTAGATCAGCTAGTAATGCCCGTCGGGAGGGGGAGGCGATGGTTAGGCATGTGGAGCACGTCACTTAGCCATCTCAATCTATGTAACTTTATAGGCTCGTCGATTGATTTTCCCTCTTTGCCCAACACTCTACGCCTAACCTGACGTCAACATTACTTACCTTATTATGCCACCTAACGTGAGAAAGAGATCGTAGACATACATCTATGATCAAAAACAGTCAACCTTTTCATGTCTTCAACTCGTATTGGCCATGTTTCAGAGAGCCATAGAGAAGGACGGAGCGAACTGCTGAGCAGTACACACGTCCCTTAGTTGATAGCCAAATGTCACGCCTACGCCAGAGATGGTGTGGTGTAAGTTAGCGAAAGCAGTTCGAGCTTTTTGGATCGGATCCGTGCTGAGATTTCGTCGCCAATCAGTCCGTTGGTGCTGATTACAACTTCCCAAATAGGTGAAGTGCTCAACATGTTCTATCACTTCACTACCTATCACTACTAAGCTAGGAGTTGACGTAGTCCAGTCCTGTGATAGTGACTATGAAAGCTGAAACAAGCTGACGATTTCAACAACAAACCAAGCCGACTGAATCACTATTATGAACCAGAGTAGATGTGATAAAAAACAGAAGGGGTTGGGGGAAACCTGCCAAAATGGTTCCATTCAGAGATGCAAAAAATATAACAATAACGATATGAAGTTGCCTAATACAAAGACAGATCAAAAACATAATAAAAATAAACAAGAAACTCCGATAAAAAGAAAACAACTAAATTGGTCAATAACTTTTTGTTGATAAAAAACAGACTGTTTATGAAGACGATGGTGAAGACAGAAGTTGTGCATATTTCTTTTGGATGGATAGCGTTGGCTTGAATTTTTTTCAGATCGCTATTGCTTCAGATAAGCCCACTTTGAGAGATTTAATCAGACCTTGTATATGACATTGAAGGATTTCTAACACATGGAGCCGAGTGTCCTGAGTTCCAGGAAGATTTTATGTTGGCAAACTATAGATACACTCCCGTTCTTCGTTTGCTAGGCAGACAGACTGGAGATCGCTTTATACAAGTGGATGCATAGTACCAGTCAATGGACTCCGCACCACCTCCGAAGCAATACCTATCAAGCTACAAAACTTTGTCCTTCGTTATATTTTGATCTCTGACCGGAAGTAGTTGTGGAGTTGTTTTCATCCCTTCATTATACATTCACGAACGTACAGCCTAGTTGATGACTTCATCGAAAAGGATTTTTTTCGCCTTCAGTGCAACCGTTTTCTTTTCTTTTTAAGTAATCTAATGTGTATAGCCCGCTGTATATTAGACCTGGATTTCGCGCGTGGATGATTTATGTTTGATGTCACACAAAATCGAAGACTTACAAGCGAAAACCGACAAACTGGTCGAAGACGCAGTCAGAGAAGACAGGACTCCAGGTGAACGTAGACAAGACGGAGGTTATGAAAATAACCAACCAACAACAACAACAGCAGCAGCAACGTCCAGCGCCAATCACCATCACCAACGGGAGGAATTTGAAAGGGGTTACTTCATTCACTTATCTAGCTGGGGAGCACTGTCTCAACTAAAGGAGGAACAAACGAGGATGTCAAATCGAGAATCGGGAAGGCGAGAAACACATTCATCAACCTGAAACCAATCTGGAAATCTTCGTCACTCAGCAACACTCAACAACAAAATTCGGATTTTCAATACAAACGTCAAGTCAGTCAGTTCTTCTTCACGGATGGATCAGAAACTTGGCGGTCGGTCACAAAGAATATTTCCAACAGCCTGTTGCAGAACTTTATCAACAACTGTCTTCGCTCAATACTGAAGATCAGATGGCCGGAAAGAACAAGAAACTATGGGAACAAACAAACAAAACAAGAACCAATCGCTCAACAAATATGCAGGAGAAAGTGGAGATGGATTGAACACTCGCTGAGGAGGCCGCTGGGTGACATCGCGCGTCAGGACATCGCTCGAGTGGAACCCGAAAGGGAAGCGGCGAGTGGGACGTCCAAGGGTGACATGGAGGAGATCGTGTGAAGAGAAGTTGAAACTATGGACTAACATGGATGCAGGTGAAAAGTACAGCAGAAGACAGGAGCAAGTGTAGGCTTGCAGTTGAAGCCCTATGTTCCACTAGGAACCCAAGGGAACAATAATATAATAATAAAAGTAAATAGTGACTATACCACTGACGAAATAGAACAGACGTAAATAGAAATAGGAAGTGAGGTGGTAGAGCACGTTGACCGCTTCACTTATTTGGCAATTACCATCAGCCAGTGCCAACGCGTTGATCTCTGATGAAATCTCAACACGGATACAGAGGGCTAGTTTCACATACGCCAGTTTACGCCGTCTCTGGCTTAGTAGACGCGATATCCCACTATCGACCAAAGGGCGTGTGTACCGCTCAGCAGTTCGCTCCGTCCTCCTTTATGGCTGGCTGTGAGACCTGACCACTGAGAGCGGAAACATGAAAAGATTAGCTGTCTCTGATCATAGGTGTCTGCGTTCTATCTCCCGTGTGAAGTGGTACAATAAGGTGAGCAATATTAAGGTTAGGTATCGAGTGATAGGTAAGGAGGGGAAATCAGTCGACGAGACTGTGAAATTACATCGAATGATATCGTTAGGACATGTGTTACGCATGCATACCTAGTCATCGCCCTCCTCAAAATCGGGCAATGTGAGTTGACATAGGATTGGTCAGGCTGGAAAAGAGCTAGCGGCGGTCAAACCAAAACATGGCCTCACCAGTCAATGAAATCTACAACAGTTAGTCTAAGCCAAGTAGGAAGGTGCAAACTTCCTGACTGGTTGGGGTCCTCGGGACGGTAAAAACCAATGGTTAGAAACAATTGGTGATATAGTTGGCTCCAAATCGTTCTCAATGCCTGGCTGGCGCAGATGCATCCACTCCTTGTGACTCATGATTTCCAATGGAACTATATTGTTCTTCGTTATTATTATACCTTTGTCTCACACCTCTGTTTACTGTCTCTCTCTATTAAGCATTTCTCCTACTTTCTTCTCTTGCTTTGTGTGCTACAAGGAGGGAGTGTGGCGAATTGAACTGCCGCACCTTGGTGCAAAGTTCTATGTCGAAAACCGACCGACCGACCGAGGCTACCCTCAGAAATTAACGCTAATCAACTGAAAACATGGCTTTTACTTTACCACATGAATTCACAAAGTTACTGAGCCTCAGTCAACTTATTCCATCAACAGTAATAAAAAACTTGAAATACCTCGTTTAATTTATTTCAAACGTCAAAACTTACCGTATAGTATCATGTTTATCGATGCGTAATTCAGCTGTTTCACCTTCATAAGCATATTCCCATATCCATGCATTTTGTTCATAATCACTAGGATTAGGTTAAAATAAGGGAATGAACAACAACTTACTATCTTGATGGTGATCGTAGTTTTTCTGCAGGTATAAGAATGTCATCAAAAAAGTTTAATGATACACGAAGACCACTTTTTGAAACAGATTTTACGATCCCAATAAGAATTTCATCAATAAATGGACGAAAACAAACAATGCGGAAGGTCACTAAAAAAGGAAGAGAAACTCAGATTTGATAAACAAAAAATTTGATTACCTGCAGTATAATAAGCACCGTCACTATCTGATATGAAACTTTCCTCAACTTTTAAAATGTCCCATAATGAAACGCACAGACCGACTTTATATATAACCTAAAAAGATTTATACACATAATTACCCCAAAATGTTAAACAAATTGGCGATAAGTTTAATATTATGCTAACCTATAGATTGACTTTCAAGAAAAAGATCGTTTATTGCAATGACGCACCAATAAATTATCTTCAGAAATCTCATTATTAATGGATTATAAGTAATTCTCTGGACAGGCATTGAGTGCTCATTGCACTACATTCACATTCCATTGAGTTCAATTACTATTTCAGTAGACTCAAGATTAAATAAAAAGAAGACGATTATACGATTCTCAAATACGCAGTTTAATCCTATCATGTAAGAGTGAACAGTCGGATACTTCTGTGACGTCTTCTCGTCTGATAGTACCACCCAGGGATATGGCGAGGTTACTGCCATCGCCACTCAGATGCCCTCAATTGTGGTAGAGCACACAAAAGTCCTCAAACTACTGTCTAAACTGAAACCAGGTAAATCACCTGGGCCTGATGGACTTCACCCTAAATTATTAATTTCCTTGGCGGATATAATATATATTCCACTCGCGGAGATTTTCCAAATGTCACTGACCCAGGCTAAGCTACCCAGGGACTGGAAGGATGCCATTATAAGCCCTATATTCAAAGAGGGGGACAGGCAATTGGTATCTAACTACAGGCCGGTAAGTCTAACATGCATTATAGCAAAGGTAATGGAAACTATTATAAGGGATCAGCTATTAGCTTACGTTGAAACACATGGCTTACTGGCAGTTGAACAGCATGGATTCCGACCAGGACGATCCTGCTTAACAAACTTACTGTTAGCTAGGGAAGATTGGGTCGAGGCCAGAGATAAAAACCTTCTGTTGGACGTGGTTTTTATTGATCTTAGCAAGGCATTCGACAAAGTATCCCACTTAGGTCTCCTTAGTAAACTTAAAGGTTTCGGACTAGACCAATGCCTATGTGAGTGGTTTAGGGATTACCTAATGGATAGAAGGCAGAAGGTTAGGGTTAACGGTGTACTATCAGGGTGGAAAGCAGTATCCAGTGGAGTGCCCCAGGGAACTGTATTAGGGCCCTTGCTATTCCTATTATACGTTAATGAGCTACCAGGGATTCTTACTCCATCTTCATTGTTATTTGCAGACGACATTAAGATATGGAAAACTGTAAACAATAACGAGGATAGGTCGGCCCTACAAACTGATCTAGATAAATTAGCGGAGTGGTCGAACCTGTGGAGTTTGAAAATGAATTCTAGGAAAAGCGCAGTAATGCACTTAGGTCAGAAGTCTTATACGTCGTACTCCCTAGGGGACACAGAACTACCTGATGTTAACGAACAGAAGGACCTAGGAATCATTGTCAGCAATGATTTGAAAACAACTGCAAACTGCAATGCAGCCGCAGCTAAGGCTTTTCGAATGCTATGGGCACTCCGTAGGGCTTTCAAACGATTAGATGAGGGCATGTTCCAAATACTCTACGCAACATATGTTAGGCCTCATCTAGAATACTGCGTACAAGCGGCGGGTCCATTCTTCAAAAAGCAGGCATATATCCTGGAAAGAGTACAGAGAGTAGGAACGAAACTAGTTAGTGGCATATCACACCTTCCTTATGATATGAGGATGGAGCATCTAAATCTCTTTCCGTTATCATACCGAAGGAAGAGAGGCGACCTAATTTTGGCTTACCGTATACTTAAGGGTGATTTAGGAACTGACCTTTCTAAACTTTTCTCTCCTTCTAGGATACATTTACGGGGTCACCGCAAAAAGGTGCTCAAACCGAGGACGATTAAAATACGTGCAGAATTTAGATTCTCTCATAGCGTGGTCAACGACTGGAACTCCTTACCTGATTCAGTAGTAACAGCTCCATCGGTGAACGCTTTCAAAGAGAAGTTAGATCTCTGCAGAGATATATTTTGCAAGGATTAACACAGGCCACAAGAGCCTTCTATCCTTATCAACTGAATCTGAATCTGAATCTGGATCAACAATCTTCCCAACCACAAATTAAGATTTCAGAACATAGTCGACATAGAACTACAAACATAACTTTTGAGTTGTTTTAATTTATTCTCATGATGGAAACTACGTTGCTGAATTCCAAATATGCATGCAAGACGAAAATAAGTAAAAGCAACATAGTTCAACGAAAATACCTACTTTTCCACAAAAGCGAGCATTTAACTCCTGTTCTATGATTTCCTTCATGTCTGACCCGAAGTAGCTAGGTCTAATTATCACAGTATCCTTCATAGAAATAAGCACGAACATCACATTGATTAGTAGCTCTCGCCTTATACTTACCACCAAGAATCCAAAGCGTGCAAGATGTTCAATGTTCGAAATTTCGGATTTCAAACCTCAGCATTTTCGGTAGAGGGCAGAAACCTTAAGTTTTACGTGAGCTCTTTTTAATAAGTGTTTTTCTCCTAACTTTTTCTCATACTTGTTCACTGGAGCCGCAAACATCAAGAGTTAATTACTCGATGAAACAGCTAGCACACCACGGGGACATAGTTCCTCCTGATCTTTTAAAGTCCCCCTCTGCGCCCCCTCAGATGTTTAGGTCTAATGCAGAAGGTAAAGAAAACAAGTCGGTTCCATATTCATCTTTCATGATTTTACAGGTCGTGATTAGATACTTGTAAATAGAATATGATAAGAAAAGTGAATTCAAACCGTTAAGTTGATGCTCATTTGACAAACTGTGCATATCAGGATTCGCACGCATGGTCTTCCATTTGAAATTTCAGAAATGCATGAATCGAACTCTGGGCAATTGTTATTTGCCCAAATGTAGTTTCCAAGTTTTCTCCTCACTAGAGATGTGAAAGGTTCTGTGCGTTATCTGTATCACAGCTGCAACCTGCTACTGCGTAACTTTGTGCTGTGGTGTTTGGCTCATGAACTGAAATAATATGTAGATCAGTGTGTGCCTCAAGTGAAAGAAGCTGTATTCCTCTTATGCCTTACGCAATGAAACCTCGATGTCCAATGCATATAATAGTGCACTGCACTTTGTTGATGAAAAGCGTTCATTCCGCGGATTCATGTAGCAGATTATTTGAACCTGTCTGTGCTGTAAGCATGTCAGTATCACTTTCAAGCTGTTCGCAAGTTATTAAGTCATATGCACAGTAAACGACAGAATTGATGATCCCTTTTTGGTCCACCGGATTAATTATTGGGTTCCGACTCAATATACCAATTCATACTGTTATCCAGGAGGGCTTTTGGTAGTATATCTCAGGCCTACTGGGAGTTTGGCGATCCAGTCAAGCAAGCCCCCCTTTTTCTAAAACTTTCCATTCTCATAATAACCTTTCACTTGGGTGATTCAGGTGTTTTGAGGAGAAACTGTGAAGATGTAGGACTTAAGTTTCGAAGTCTTGTGATTATAATTGATATGATTATGAACAGTAAATTTTGTTCAAAACGTCATCCAGTAAAAAACTGTTTCACTGTGTGATACATCTAATAAACAAACTAATATGAAAGATGTAGGACCTCTCCAACACGGTATGCTATGAGCAATTGTGTATAATAAGCAGTTGAGAAATCCAGAAGGACAGAATGAGAAACCAAGTAGGAACTACACCTTCTTAATAATTTATCAGGCTTTCTTTATCTATTTAATGATAAACACCCTTCCGTTTACATGACTAGGTGTGCCCCACTTCACTTTGCTTCTGTTGTACACCGAAAATGGAGGTTCACGAACATCATTGGTCTTCTACAATATTATGAGTCGCCGGTCGGCAGTCTGGATGGTTATTTTGGTAGAAAAGTCAGTTTCTAAAAAACACCAATGGGCTTTTTGTCGTTTTTTTACGCACTTAGTTTTACCTCACTGGGAGGTCTGTTGGATACGCGTTTTTCCACAGAAAATGTTGATTTCCAGATGTGTTGTGGTAATTGTATTGACTTTACTTTTCTATATCTTGATCTCACAGATGTTAAAACTAAAATTTCGTTTACAATTGGATTTGAGCCTGTTTTAATTCACAGTGAATTGCAGTCATGCTACCGAGGCTAGCAAAACACTGTCAGTATCAACTAGGTGGAAGTCATGTAGTGTCTCCCTAAAATGCCTGTGTTCAATGAAAACTTAATTTATAAGGAGCTAATGAGAGTCTGTGGCACATTACTGTTAAATTAGGGCCACAGATTCTCATTTCAGTCCAACCCAATTTTAAATTACAACAGCTGTCATAAATATGCATAGTTACTTCAGGACACCAGCAGGTGAATGTGGAAAACTGCGGTGTTTGACTCCTGTAAAGGTGAAATTTAACGTCTTTTGCTTCATTTCTGACATAGGTCAAATGCTGTTTACACTGTTATTCAGAACTTACTGCATGTTCCTATTTGAGATATAAGTATACTCTGGTGAAAATGATAATCGCAGGTGAGCTGTGACAAATAGTGCACACTAGACACATATTGATGAGAGTGAGGTAATACATATTTATTAATATATTCAGCACCCAAAACCTCAAGCATGTGACAAGACTGAAGCGTATCATACTTTCTTTTCAGGCACAAACCAAATCCACTGAGATAGTTCACGGCAGAAAATCTATTTGAGAATCCATTTGCTTCTAATAAATAAGCTAAACTCCTTAGGAATAAGTAACCCATTATTAGGATGGATTGAATCATTCCCAAGTAGTTAGACTGGGTTCTGTAAACTCTAAACCTAGTCCAGTCACTTCTGGAATAGTTCAAGGTAGCGTCTTAGGCCCCCTCCTATTCACTCTATATGTCAACGACATATGCGGCTGTTTCTCACTTGGCAAACCATTCATCTTTGCAGATGATCTTAAAGTAGCTTACACATTCCACTGTGATGACTTAGGGTACTTTCAGAAAGCTGTTCAGGAAGAACTAGATCGAGTAACTGCATGGTCCTCCACATGGAACCTAAAATTCAACCTTAAAAAATGTGGTTGGATATGCTTCGGTGCACCCTCAATAAATATTAAACTGGTACTTGAATCTATCGACTTGCCTAAACTCCAAAGTGTTGTTGACCTAGGACTCAGGTACTCTAGTGACTTGACATTTTCTGAGCAAGTGGCGACACAGACGCGTAAATCGAGGATGCTCTTAGGATGCATACTCAGGAATTTCCACAGCTTCGGAGCAAAACTATTATTGTATAAAACTTGTGTCAGACCACTACTTGAATATTGTCCATTTATTCTCAGCAGCACTCGCGTAAGTGACAAACTTAAAATAGAAAGTGTCCAACGATACTTCACGTCTAAACTACTAGGATTTGACTGCGAAAAGGACTACACATCAAGGTGTATAACTCTAGGTATCGACCAACTCTGGATGAGACGACTGAGCATTAACCTAACATTTTTCTTTAAAATATTGCATAAAATATCATTCTCAGACAGTAAGGAGATACAGTTCTCACCTGAAGGCTCTTACAATCTTCGTAACCAAACGTGCACAGTATCTAGGAAAAACTGCAAGACAACACTCCGTGCAAGTTTCTTCATAGTCATGTGCTCTAAGATCTGGAACAGTTTACCCCTAGAAATAAGGACCTGTCACTCTATCATAACCTTCAAACGCTTGCTATATGAACTGCTTCATCCTAATGATTATGCCAATCACACCGCACCACTTATTTCTAAAACGCATGAGCTATTAGAACACTATAACGCCTAGACTCATTATTAAATATTATGACACTAAATAAACTCTAAGACTTCGCAAAAATACATGAAAGAACAACTAGATTATAGGTAGTGTTTACTATACAATGATATACACTTATAAACATTTATATATACATAAAATATTAACGTCCTGTTCATGTTTACATACTTTCTCTTTCTGTTATTATATCCTGAGCCTGCACTTCTATATATCTCCTGGTCGAGGTCGAACAACCCATCATCTAAACTGAAATGACCATTTAAGTAAATTCAAACTCAAATTCCATGAACGATCCGTTGCAACCACTTGAAAACGCTGGCCAACATTCTGTACAAGGAGTATTCTTGATCTGATATAAAGAAACGACTGGTTTTCAAACAGTTTTCAATGTATTACTCAACTTACATGTACAGTCTGCCATGCTGACGCAAATGGCGCAAATGGATAGTTCTAGAATCGACCTCGGCCCCATTTGATGCAGTAAAACAATCTAACATGACCTTATCTAATTTTCGTATGAAAGATCAAATTTCTTTCCTATTATAAAACTACGATAAGACTGCTGACAAAAATGGAATAAATACATTATTGACTCAAAATAATACATCAATAAACTTTATCTCACGGATGCTGTTCACAACAAAGTTTTATAGGAGAATTGACTTCAAGCTTTATTTTTCCCAGATATTTGTATCACATTCATCTAAAGTCTGGGTTTTTTGTTAATGCGAAGACAATATTTCTATATCTCTTTATGTGTTACACAGACAGACAATTTTGCAGACTGTTCTGACTGACTCTAATGTTAGATTGAACAAACAAACTGTAATTTATATAATAACTTATCCATGCCTGTACAATTGGTATGTTCCTGCATAAACAGGAATAAATATATATATGTAAGGTTTCACAGCGTTATACATTAATATTTACCGGTAAATATTTCCATATAACACTGTGAAGCTTTATCAAATTAATTTTCTGAATAATGGAATCATAATCTACCACACTGCCCAAGTTCTGTTGATATAGCAATTTCATTTCAGAGTCGTAACTAAAAATGCTTAGGGAAACCAGAATATTCCGTTAGTTTCGATACCATGAAGACGAAAGATAGATAAAAGAAGAAGACACAGTGAACAGTGAGAATTTCACAAGAAGTTACTGTGAAGGTGAATCGAATTGAAAAATCCAGTAGATTACAGGATTTCATCATGAGCTGACATCAGTTAGAGAACCACTGGAAAACCTGGGAGTACTGGACAGCTGTTTCGTCCTAGTTTAGGACTCTTCAGCAGTACGCACCCACCGGGATTCGAACCCAGGACCTTCTGGTTACAAGGCGAGCTCGTATACCATTAAGCCACTGGGACCCGATCCAATGGTCCATGAATTCTAACTTCTAACTTCACGACATGGCTAGGGGTCGTGCTATGTCGTGAATTGGCAGAAGTTAGAATTCATGGACCGTTGGATCAGGTCCCAGTGGCTTAATGGTATACGAGCTCGCCTTGTAACCAGAAGGTCCTGGGTTCGAATCACGGTGGGTGCGTACTCCCAGGTTTTCCAATGGTTCTCTAACTGATGTCAGCTCATGATGAAATCCTGTAACCAATCAAATCCCTACAAACCAAC